CTTAATCCCCATTTACCAAACTTAACCCGTCCCTCTCCCTCGCAAAACACTCGGGCTCGAGAGAGGGACTTACGGCTAATGTCCAAATTTAAGCGTGAGACCTGACGGGGTATTTGGCCCAAAACACTCTCTCATTATAAACACTTTTATCCCCTTTATCAACTCATCTACGCCAAAAATAAAAAATATGCGCTGAGATGAGGCCGACAACCTCGTCCAGTCTCCTCCTCAAAAGAGTGATTTGCCGAGGAAAGATCCTCAGAAAACCTTTGGGGCAGCACGTCGGGGCTCACAAGCGTAACAGCTTCCTGATTTGCTGCGCGTCAGAAAATCAGGGTTTCAGACGTACAGCCCAAACAACACTTCAACAAAGCATTATCTTAGGGGTGTGGCATTTTGGGGGCAAACTGCATAATACATGCTGAGAACCATTCGATATAACTCTTTGTATCATGGACCAATTCATGATTATCTATGAGATGCACTGAAGAATATAACAATGTCTTCATGACCAGTGAATCTGCTTCACTTGGAACAAAAATAGAGAGAGGAAAACCAGTTGATTATTCTGAAGCTGGACCCCACCAAGATAACTGTCGATATTGCAAGCAGAAAAGTAGGAATGTTAGGATGAGTGCTTCATGCGGGATGGATAAGAAAAAGATCATGGAATCTACCTTAGTCACACAACAGTGGGAATCACAGAGGGGGCCAAGGGAAACCGCCCGTGTCGTTGATGTGAAGGTCATCGGCCTGAGGAATAACAATCACAAAGAATGTGAGTACTCGACCAAAGTTCAATATATACTTTGTTTGCATACCTCCGCTTGAATGAACTCATACCATAAAGGCATTGTATTTCCCGCGGCGTGAATCAGGTTTTGCAGGGCCTTGAACACCCGAATAACAACAGAGCACGAGTACGTTCCGGTTCCAAGAAATGAGCGTCGATGAGCCCAGAGGCGAGGGTGCTCAAGTAAGGTGATAACGAAGTCGTAAACCGTTATGTTTTGACTTTGAATAAAGCCAATGACGTTGCGACATCTGGCAAAGAGCAAGTCACGACTCGGTGGGGGCTGGTGTGAGTAAGTCACATAGGCTGAAGGCCTAGCTGAATTGACAAATTCTTGCACTGTTAGGCCCTCACGGATGATATAGTCGGTGATGTTCGCGATACATTCCTCATGAATCGCGTGAGCATGACGTCCTTCGGGGTCGTCATTGCTTTCTGGAATGACAATGGTGTCTGGGGTTGATCGAATCATGTTGGCGATGCCATCGTCATGGACGTCGTGGGCATCACGTCCCTCGGACTCTTCCTCGCTGTCTGGAATGTCAATGGTGTCTGGGGATGTTCGGTTCATAGTTGGTAGATAGGGGAATCCAACAAAATAATTGTTTTAGACGGACTCTTTATGTATACAGGGCGAGGGTCAAGCTACCTATACCCCTTGGAACAACGAGTGTTCCGCTCGGAATTGAGTATCATGCCATACCGGATTGGTCTTTTGAGACAAGTTAAAATGTATACCTTCCATCCGGCATGGTGGGAATGGTGGGAGACATTTGTCGAGAAGAGATACTGACCTGGATTGGGCACTTGACACAAGTCTGGATGCTTCAGTTATGATCGTGCCAACACCACCAGGTCAGTATGAAACAAATCATTGAGGGAGAGCTTGGATTTGGTTTGAAAAATTAATTCATCACCAGCGAGGATTTCTGGTGATATTTTCGACAAGTTTATGTGATATACCTTACAACTCGTTATCACCCGACTCCAAAACATTATTCTGTTAATTAAACATCAATGATGCCACAACAACAACATAGCCAACCCACTCCTCCCATGACTTTGACTCTCAGTCACACATTACAGATACTAGAACTGATGGCCAAACTTGATTTTTCACCTAGAGATTTCATGTATACGTTCTTCTCCTCCAATCACGCAGAATGTATATATCGTTGTCGCTTGATGAAGACCGGATCTGGCGGAAAACAAAACAGATCAATACTGAAAAACTACGGAAACCTGATAAAATCGTTGGATTCCGGTCAGGAATTTTGGGAATCCTTCATTATGTCTGAGGTATGTGGCTCTGTAGATACCTTCTTTCTTTTTGTAAGTAACAATATATCTTTGATTACAGGCATCCACCATTGTAAATGCACAAGATGTAGTACGTGGCGCATTCCCTAAAGGGGCATATGTCAGCTCGAATCAGATTCCAAGTAACTTCTTCAGCGAGAGTTCAGAAGCTAGACGTACCGAGCAAATCAAGCAAGGGATGCCATTCTTGCACTCCTTGATTTCACAGAAGATTTCGAGTGCGTTGAACATAAAGGGGTCAAAACCGGATAGTTCAGTAGGCAAAAAGAATGACAACACCCCCAGACGGAATTCTTTGAACCCAAAGTCCCCCAAAACACCCAATTCTGCTGTAACCACACGTGAATCGAGCAACCCAAACGGTCCAAACACTTCCGACGCTGCTTTAAACGCTGGTGACGATGAAGAGGTGTTGTCACTCGCCAACTTGGTTTATGTGAAGGCGAGTCCATCTGAAGTCGCTGAACATAAAGCAGAGGTTGTAAGTGTGATTTGTTACATTTGCTTGATTGATGAAAGCTTGACCAACCGTTTTTTCATTAAGGTTCCGGTCGCGATTTGTGCAATGATTGCCTATCAATGCAATCGCCGATGTAATGCAGTGCCACTTCAGAATGGCTTAATGGTCTTGGCCGGCGGAGTGTCCTGCAGGGTCAATGAGTATCTACAATGCTTCGGTTTGACGACCTCGAGAGATACTGTTCTCGACGCCATGGAACATCTCCGTATATCCCAAGAGGAACAGCTGATGCAGGTATTTAAAGTCAATTTGAAATTGTTGCCGTTGTTGTGTTTTGACAACGTGGACATACATCTGCGCATCCATAATTCTCGCATTGATATGTCCTCGAGGCTCTTTCATGGCACTTGGGGCTTCTACATCGTTTTTCGCGCGGCACTTTTGGCGAGTTGTGATGCCGATGCAGTATCTCTGGCTGCGTTCGTGGAGGCGATGAAAAACAGCGACCAAAAGCCCGTTTTGATAGAGGCCTTTGCACCTCGAGCTGCCGAATCAGTTCATTTCAAGGCTGTCATCAAGTCTCAACTAGCTCTTGCGCTAGTTGAACATGTCAAGCATTTGCCAAATGCACCTCCGGCTCAAGATCTACCTCAACTTACTGTTTCTCCGCCGAAAATCGATCCCATTGAGTTTCACACTCCCAACATCCACTTTTTGCGCATGATGGACGCTGCTGATTCCTCAGCCAATGGGGTGTCACAGGTCCTGGATCAGGTCATGACCCAGATCGGAATGGCCAAAGAGGAATACGCCGAAAGCCTGTTGGTCGCCGGGGGTGATGTAGGATCGAATCAATTGGTTGAAAGTCTTCGTGGTAAGCTGCACCCTCCAATTGACTCAATTGAGGGCCTATCATGGGTGCTCTCGGTGTTTGGTCCTGCGCACACCACCTGGAACTTCGCCAAGGCCATTTGGACATTGCACTGGGGTAACTCAAACGACGGTGCCGATCGAGGTGCCTGGAGGTCGTCTTTTGAGCTCGGCGGGGATTATAACAAGCCTGTGGCCCAACAGGACTTCAACTCAATCATGAGATCCATACAATTAGTCCATAAAGCGAATTTGGTCTTCGTTATCAGGTAAGCACGGCCGGGTCTAGCCATTGGATTCTAATTACTGATCTTTGAGGACTTACAATGGTAGTGAAGTCATTAAATCTTTAGCCAAAGTCGATTTGACCCAGAAGTCGGAATGCCAGCTTGTTTTGGATACCGCTTGGACACAGTACTTTTCAGCATTGGCATTGAGGGAAGCCAAAGCAAAGAAAGATTCCACCAAGTATAACCTTCTGCTGCGACTACGTGACTTTGGAACGGTTTTTGAGGCCCATCACGCCACCCGCGCGGGCAATATAGGCCGTCTGATTGCAATGTGGAAGAGGTGGGCGATCATGGCCCAAGGTCTCACTGGGTTATCACATTACGCTCGACATATTCCGCGCATGGTGTTACTTCTGGAAGAAGACCTTCCACCTCAGCTAGCGCATGTTATCAAACATTCACTTCTGGTGCCGTCGCTTGAGCGAGATGGTCATTGGTTGCCAATTGATGAGTATCTAGAGGTGCATATATTTTGGCTCAAAGAAGTATATAACAACACGGTGTGTCAGTCTTCAAAAGATGCCGTATTTTCCTCGAACTGACCATGTTTCGCTTCTATGTGGTGTTGTGCAAAGGGCCATGGTACTGATATTGAGCGACTCACATACAGGTATTCAAACAACATCCCAATGGTATGTCCCGATTTCTTTTATCAATCGTCAAATATTCATTGCTCATGTAACGCTATATTGATATCGATATCTACAGTTGCGCAGGCTAATTCAACTCCTCAAAGCCCATGCCGGTCACAAAATCATTTTTCAGTCTAACGCTAACAAAATTACCAACGCTTCAATGGCGAATTTCCTTCGATATGCCCAGGAAAACCTCTCCAAAACCCCTGAAGTAAACATAACTCAAACCCCAGACTCTCGTAAACGCCCTATGGTGAACAACGTGTTCGCGACTGGCCTCTCCAACATGATCAAAATCATTCAAGCTGACTCAAGCGAGGGTCAATCATCTCGCTTTCGGTGGGGTTCGTCGCGTGGGTATGAGGTAGATGAGGCTGAAGGTGATTATCCTGAGGAAGGGTAGTCGTCGCACTCTGTTATGGGGAATGACCAGATGTCGCAGTCAACGGATGATCTATAGTATACTAATCTCAGGCCAAAATACCTACTGTGTTGCATTTCACTCGGGTATCTGTGCTTGGGCCGATTTGTGAGGTAGCTGCTCGCTTGCAAGTTGCAGTGCCCTTTGGGGCACGTGTAGCCTGCTTTGCCAACCTTTCTTCACGTGCCTTACTTCTCATCTCGGCCAGGCGCTTTCGTTCTTTGGCTTCGTCTTCTATTCGTTTCTTTTTGGCATCCGCCTGTGCCGCTTTATGAGCGTCTTCAAGTTGTTTCTCCAACAACTAGGCCAAGTGAAATTGTGGAATGTCAGTATGATACTCTCGGACTATGGGGGATCTTCTATGTCACTTTGGCCTGTTTGATTGCTACCTTCTCTGCAGCCTCTCTCTTTTTGACTAGTTCCGTGCCTTCGACTGATACAGGAGGTTTCAAAGGTCCTTTGCGCCTAATCACCTTACGACGTCGAATGGCTTGAGCAAGAGCCTCCGTGGCCCCTTCTTCGTCCTGCCATGCCACAAAACAATCATACAGAGTTCCAAATTGGCCTGCAATGATCTCACCAGGCAGGAAATGACTCAGCTCGCCAGGCTGGTTGATTGCATCAATATTTAGGGCCAAGTCCCACGCGAGTCCTGTTGAGAAGTAGTCCCATGGCCCAATTTCGGAGTCCTTAGAGTAAAATCCGTAAAAAGCTTCCTCGAACGCACTCAGCCACTTAGTCACTAGGCTTTTGAGAGGTTTGGAAGAGCGGAGTTCGTCGTTTTCGCCACATCGGAGTATTTCCGTACGCAATGAGGCCTCAGGATTAGGCGGTGGCAACGGAAGATCATCCAATAATTGATACAGGTCCATTTCGCCCCATTTGATCGCTTTGTCAAAGTTGTCAAGAGTCAGAGCCTTCTGTGCTAGCCAAAGGGCTTCTGCTTCTGCGGGTAGACAGTTGCTACAGTCACAGGGGGGCATTTTCGCTTTGAGTTCACGCGCTTCCTCTTCTTGAACGACCCATGCATCAGGTTTCAAAGGGATATAGCCGTGACTTAAATGCGACCATAAGTGGTAATAGATGAAAATCAATCTATCTCTTATTCTAAAAAAAATTACCGAATGACTTACGCTAAATCAACAGCCAGGGCCACTCGCAGGCATACCGGGGTTATGGCCAAAGCGTCCATACGATCGTCGTCACTCATCACAGTTGGTGTATGAAAGTCTTCCACTCGATTCTTGCCATTGGTCCTGGTATTTTCTACCAATAGAATAGCCAAACCGCGACGTCCATCGCGCCCACATCTGCCCGCCATCTGGATAAAGTTACTGTAAGGTTCAATTAGAACCTTCACTGAGGAGTCCGGAAACTAGTCCGGCACGACTTCTCACGAGAGCGATGGACTTGGAACTTCGGTTTAATTACGATCTAGCTCCGAAAGGTCACCCAGTTGGCTCTCTGAGGAGTCAGCAACCATCTAACAACACAACAGAGAGAAAGAGATAAGAGAGAAATAAGAGAATCTCACCTAGCTCCGAAAGGTCACCCAGTTGGCTCTCTGAGGAGTGAGGATCTTTCGAAGCCGGGCATTGAGAATGAAAGGTAAGGAGTTCCCCAACTAATCCCATAATGTATAATCCCATGCCTACATGTCACGTGTACTCCTTACACCCCCCCTTTCTAAAAATAAAACTTCCGCCATCCTTCAACCAAATTTTTGTATAAAACTAAAAGAAGAGAAAAAAAAACCACAAAAGAAAACACACCAATGGCATAACTCGCCCCAAAAGAATCTTGAATTAATAATTTGTTGTATGAAACAAAAAAAAGAAAGAGAAAAAAAAGAAACATAACCAATTGAACTGATATATAAGAGAATTTTATTTGTTGAAAGAAAGTGAAAGTTCATTAATCATTATCTTGAAGTCTTGAGGTAATTTCATTATCTTGAAGTCTTGAGGTAATTTCCTTATCTTGAAGTCTTGAGGTGATACGTAATTTGTTGCGTCATTTAATTTAATTTGATCCCGATCTTGACGTCTTGATGTAATTTCTTTGATTCCTTTGATGTCTTGAACTTGTTGCTTCATTTGTATCGGCGTGATTGTTAGAATATTGCGGGGGTGTTATTGCGTTGTACGATGCACACCCCCTTGTCAATTAACCTAGCGTGCCCCAAGGGCTCCAATTCAGGACCTGTCGGGGATGTTTTCGGCATTGACAAACCCAACTCGATGGGTGCAATTGAACCAAGACTTTGTTTTGATCCCGTTCGGCTTGAAGGTTTGGCGAGAGATGTTAAACTGTTATTTGGGAGAGAGGAATGCTTGCCCAGATTTTCTTTACAACATGGTCTGAAAAAATTAGCACACTCACATTGTGGGGGTGTTAGCGCATCAACTTGAATGCACACCCCCTCGTCACAATTCCTAGCATGCCCCATGGGCTCCTCTCGAGTCTCTCCTGGGGGTTGTTCCGGTTGTGACGAGACCAAACTCGTGGTCACAATGTCTTCTTCACTTGAGTCCTCGAATGACGAATGGTAAAGTTTCAGCTTAGAGATGTGAAAGACTGGATAAGTGAGGTCATTTGGTGGTAGTTGAAGTCGGTAGTCTCGACCTGAGTTTAAGACTTCCAGGATCTCATACGGTCCGTCGTACCGTGCTCGAAGCTTGCTGGTGCCTTTGAACTTGCCTCCAACAATCTGTTGTCGATCCGTGCTGTCGACCATGACCCATTCTCCAACTGAAAATGGTTTACCTTCCCTTCTTCTTTGGTTATATTGAAGTGCTTGCTCTACTCGGTTAGACCACAACTTGTCTCTCCACATAGCCCACTCCGATTGCCGCCTTTCGATCCAGTGCTTCACGTCGGCACCGTCCTCCTCCAATGGGTTTTGGATTGGGAACAGTCGAGGTACACGTCCATATACGAATTGAAAGGGTGATATACCTGTTGCCGCGTTCACAGCCAAATTGATTGCAAATTCAGCAGAAGGTAAGGATTGGAACCACTTCCCGTGTTTCTCAGCCGCATAGTGTCGCAGCATTTGACCAATAGTTTTGTTCGAGCGCTCGCTTCGACCGTCAGCCTGAGGATGGTAAGACGTTGAAAGGTTGACTTTAACACCCAACAGTTCATGCAGCCTCTTCCAAAACCGCGACGTCCAAGCTTTGTCCCTATCTCCAATGATGGAGGTTGGGAGACCGAATATTGATGACCAAGCCGCGAATAGTCTAGCCGCTGAGCGCTCGGCTGTATCACGTTGAGAAGCTGGGATAAGGCGAACAAAACCTGTCAGTCGACACGTACAAGTAAGCAGCATGTCGTACCCTGATACTTTTGGAAAGGGCCCGACAAAATCAATCGCAATAGACTCCATAGGACTAGCAGGTACCTCCGGGGTTTGTAATTTGCCCGTGGTTGAGGTCGTTCTGGCCTTGTTGCGTTGACATGAATCACAGGCACGTAGTTGTGTCTCAACTTCTTTGGTCATTCCTGGCCAGAAAAAGCTACTTCGTAACCGTGCCATCGTCTTCAACGTGCCTAAGTGTCCTAGCGCGCTATGAGCTTGTGAAATGAAGTTGCGGCGCAGATCACCGTGATCTGGTACCACTAATCGTCCATCCAGGTACATCAAGTCATCCTGTACGATGCAGTCTTCTCGCAACGGCAAAACTTTGCGAAGCTTGAGGCAGAATTTGTCTTGTCGATAACCGTCGTGGATTAAGTTAAGTTCTTCAGGTGCTAATGTTCCTCTCACTTCACACAAGGCTACGTCATCACGACGGGAAAGAGCATCAGCAACAGAGTTATCTTGACCTCGCAAATATTTGAAGTCGAGGTCGAATTGGGATAGGGTCTCCAGCCATCTCGCTTGTCGACGGCTCAAGTTACGCTGAGTTAGCAAGGTAGTGAGTGAATGATGATCAGACATCACATTTACTCTCATACCTAAAAGCAGGAGTTTCCATTTGTTCAGCGCGTTGATGACCGCTAAAAGCTCTTGCTCATGAACAGGGTAATTTTTTTCAGCAGGATTCATTGTGCGACTCTCGTAGGCTATTGGTGATGCTGTATCCCACTCAGTCCCTTGGAATAAGGCTGCTCCCAAGCCATTGCCGCTCGCATTGGTGAAAAGCCACAGCGGCTCCTTAGAGTCATAATCCAAATTGCGTAATACCGGAAGCGTAGTAATCAGACGTTTGATGTTATTGAATGCCCGTTCCTCGGTGTCACCCCACTTGAATGGTTTACCTTTCAAGGATGTGCTCGTCAGAGGTGTGAGAGTCCCTACATAGTGAGAAAGCCCATTGATGAACTTCTTCATCCATTGTACGGTTCCAAGGAACTTGAGAAGCTGTTTAGAGTTGGACGGAGATTGCCATTTTGAGATTTTTTCGACCTTTTCATCATCTGGGCACACTCCGGCTTCACTGATTTCGTGACCCAAGAACTTAATGCTTCTTCGAAACAGCTTACTTTTCTTTACTGAACAGTACAGCTTAGCCGCTCTTAATTTTTCCAATACTTGTCGAAGATGTTCTTCATGTTCTTCGACTGTCTGCGAGAATATAACAATATCGTCAATATAAACCACACAAATTTTTCCAATCAGTTCTCCTAAAATCTCCTCATTTCTAGCCTGATGAGTTGCTGGACCGTTAGTCAACCCCATAGGCATAACAACCCATTCATACAACCCCCAAGGAGTCTTCACTGCTGTCAGTGGGATGTCCTCCTCCCGCATTCTATCTTGAAAGAAGGAATTGATTTGGTCAATGCTGGACCATACCTTCCCGGTTGCCACTAATCTGACGGACTCATCAACGTTCGGGATAGGAACGGCGCGATAGGTCGTGAATTTATTCAACTTTCGGTAATCACATACCCATCTAGGCAACTCTTGTGGGTCCTTCTTTGGAATAATCATCGAA